CAGGCAGTGGTGGTGGCACTTCTGGATTTAAATCTAACGTTGGTAATGTCAAGGACTGTTGTTTTTGTTGTTGATTTTGCTGCTGTTGTTTTTGCTGTTCCAATTGGAATTGTGACTTCTTTAGTTGTTGTGCTGTTGCAGCTTTAGTTGGTTTCGGTGGCGCCGCTGTTAATGGCGCTCTTACTGAGGTGGTTGTACTAGTTGGTGACTCGGTGGTCGTAGTGATTCTGGTGGTTGTTGTGGTGGGGGTTGTATTCGTCGTAGGAGCTTGGGTCGTTGTTGGCGCTGGCGTCGTAGTAGTCGTGGTAGTAGTTGAGGGGGTAGTCGTTGTTGTTGTTGGTCTTGTTGCTGCTACTGTTGTCGACGTCGTTTTTGCCTGCTCGAACTCAGCATCGAGCAGTGGCGGTAATAAATCATTGAATGGCACCAATAGTTCTTGTGGCAGCCCTTCAGCATCTATGGCAGCGGCCACACAACATGGCGCAAGAAACAATGCAAAACAGCTGACAGCAACAGCAACACCAACGGCAACTGATGGCTTTAATATCTGCAACAAAGCAAACAAGACAATATTACATTAAATGAGTGCACTGTCTGTGCGTAGATAATGGGTCGAATGTAAATATTATCTTTTAGCCGAGGTCTATAGGAATGCGAACGCGTTAAATAATTTTGAAGTTAGAATACTTGCGTTATGAAAGTAATTAAATTTTATATACATTACAGTGGTCCAAAAATGCATGTGAAAAAGTAAAATCGGAATTTTATGCTCTCACCCCCTGGGGATTTTCTATACCAAAAACAAAAAAACATTATAAAATCACAACATTTTTAGAGGCCGCTCAAAGTTTTCTATCTATTTTATAGGGGCGAAAAACAACTTTTCATAGAAATGGTATAGAATTCTCGAAAATCTATATTTTTTGATTGCAAAACTCTGCTTTTCTTCAGGAGATTCTCTTTAATAATAATCAACTATTTATTTAACCACTTTTTCATAGTAAATATATTTTATAGGTCCCCAAAACCCCAGAAAGAGCAATGGGGAACTACTAAGAAATCTTCAGTATTAAAAAATGGTTGGAAGTCTCCTTAAGATAACCAGAGTTTTCCCATCAATAATATTGATTTTCAAGAACTGTATACCATTCCTATGAAAATTGTTTTTTCTCAAATAAAAGACATGGAAAACTTTGAGCGACTTCAAAAAATTGGGGTATATTTTTTCGATATAGAACAATCCTATGGGTGAGAGCATTAAAATTCCGACATTCCTTTTTTTTTTTGACCACGCTAATATTCAAAGATATGTATGTATTTTTCAAAACTTCAAATTTGTAGGCAACAATAAATTATGTGAAGAAAAAATTTGTTGGTTTAAATAAAATGCCTTTCGTTAAAACACAGATATGTAAATAGTTTTAAGGTTCAAAGCTGATTAACAATAATCCTTTCTATTAAAAACAATGGGGAGAGTTTTGGAAATTCACATCAGCAGTGTTATCAATGTTAACCGAAGGTCGCCTTTTTTAGGGAATCAATTCCGCTTACACCAACTTTTTGTAAAACTTCAATATTTGACTTTTTTACAAATAAAAGCGGCTCCTAACACTTTTTGACTTTAAACATTTCATATTAAAATTTTTACACTCTTTCCTTAAATTTCGAAATTAATTATAACTTTGCACTAGGGCCTGGCGACTACAATTTGCTGGCCAAAAGTCGAGATGTAGCCAAATTGGTTCTAAACATGGTGTTTGGGTGTTTCCGAGATCGCTGATTTCGAATATGATTTCAGATTTTTGAAATCAAAAATGGCGGAAAAGAAAAAGTGGAGTAGTGACGTGTTTGAAAGTAAAAATACAAATAACAAATAAATGAACAATGCAGCGTTAGTTAGTAAATGCTTCACAGGCTGCACGAAAATGGTCTGGTAATATTTTGTCCCAGCGGCGGCGAAGAGCAATCTTCATGGCGTTGACTGTCTTTTATTTTTAAATGGATACTTTAGCCTCGAGAATGGACCATATGAAAAAAGACATTGGATTTAAGCCCGATGAATATGGGGCCACCATTGTTGCGAAGAAACAAAGCTGGGAAGTTTATTTCGAAAAAAAGTTAGATTTCGCGAACTTTATGCGAAAGTGTCGAGTCGTATTGAAACGTCCAATGATTTCTAGCTACTTGTTTTCAGGGGTTAGACTGAGTGTAAGTGATTTGTTTCTCGATGGATGGTCTGCCGGTGAGTTCGGAGAACGTGGAGTGAAACCTTTAAATGCAAATTTTGTTACGGATTAACCTTCGGCATACCAGGGTGTCCTTCAGTCTTAACGTTTCGCATATACCACCAATACAAGTAGTAGTAACTGGTCATTGTAGCATAGAAATCCACGTGGTTGCCTCGACATTATCTCGAGGCCCTATTACAGCAGCTCTTCAGAATGAATGATGTTAAAATCTGCAACTTTAAATAAGTTTTCACATTATGCTCGCATGATTTAACAAAAGCGAAACAAAATGTTCTGGAGGAATTCTGAAGTAAAACAGGGTCCTTAATTTGTTGTATATCTGACATAAATCACATACTTTATGTTAAGTATTTAGAGTAGAAACTTGTTGTAACTATTCAACAGTTAGTAGCAATTGCATGGCAGCAGTTATGAGATGATCTCAAACTTTCGTGCTTGTGGGAAGAAAATAGCTCAGATTAGTCCTGCATATCCTTCTTTACATCACATTTCCTAATGGGTCTTACTGCTGCTTTCTGAATGCTAAGTGAGTTATGGCAACGTTTTAATTACGAGTATGCTGAATGTATGCAACTGAAGTTTTCCATGTACACGTACATGCATACATACATATGTTCATTAGTGTGGTCCTTAAAAACAAATGAACGATTTCTTTCAGTCTTACCCCTCAGTCGGTAATAATTTCTACCATCATAGATATCACATATAAATATCGGTCCCAATTGGAGACGGTTAATGCGTGCCGCACAGGGGGCAAAGTTCAGATTCCTCTATAGAGACTAAAAAAAATAAATTTTTTTTTTTCATCTAGGACCCAAAATCGATACTATTATAGTCGAAGATATCACATATAAAAATTGGTTCCGATTGGAGTCGGTTAAGGTGTAACGCAAAGGGGCCAAGGCCAAATGCGCCTATGGAGACTCAAAAAATTTATTTTGTTTTTCATTTAATACTGAAAATCGATTCTGCTATAAACGAAGATACATATATAAATTTTGGTTCCGATTGGAGTCGGTTAAGACGTCTTCATAGGGTAACTGAACTTTGATCCCTGGACGACACGCCTTTACCGACTCCAAAAATTTATATGTGATATCTTCGAATATAGTAGCATCGACGTAGTGGTTGAGGCTTACGAAATCTGATATAATAATTTGCTTCCTACATTTAAGGACCACCCTAATGTGCACAATATATACATTGCCGTGTAGATCTATGCTGCTGAAGAAAATTTTCTGTTTTTGTAACATTTTCGAATGCCAACTGCTGTGATTTATGGAGTGTGGCGGCGCTGAAATGACAAACAAACAAAATGTGCACAAAGAAAATGACTGCCATTTCACTAAGGCAAAGATTTTACATGCGTCGATGAGAAGGAAATTAAAGATTTTGATGTCCAGTCTACTTGTTNTTTTTTTTTTTTTTTTTTTTTTTTTTTGGTTGGGCTATGCGCAAACGCACTTCCTTGATTTTGCAAAGACACGTTGCTTGATGAAACATGTTTCACTGTCAGCTACGTTTTTTTTCGACCATTTTTTCCATCGGACACAAAAAAATAGAAATCACAAATCACAACTCACATTTGGGCATTTCATGATGTCAGACGTATGTTTTGGCCTTCGAATATATTTTCTTCGTTTTTGCTATCACTTTGGAACCGCACCGCTCTTAAATCAGTGACTTGTTCTGCTCAATCACCGTATGAAACCGACGCGTCCTGATATCGACCAGCGCGTATGCAAATTTTTAAATAACTAAAATGTTGCGCGGTGACAACAGTTGCTTTTATAACAACAGACAGGCCAGCTGGTTGGTGGGCAGGCCAGCAGCAATCATCTGGGTAAAAGTACTACTAATAAAGATGGTTTGGTCAGCAACTTGTTTGGATTGTCTGGTGTTGATAGTGTTGTTGGCATCTACATATGTACATAGAAGGGTTGGCAGCATTAAACAATCAATTAATGACAAACATTAAGTATTATATATGGCTTAAAAAAAAGATATTTATGTAGTAAAATAGGCAAACATATAAATAGTGAGCTATGTTGCGTATAAAAATAAAATGATCTAGTAAAACAATCGCGAAAACAAACTAAAAATGTATTTAGCTAAATCTCAACTGCACACACTCTTCTGTTAGTAAAGCGTCGGCAATAAATTTGTTACCTCTAATGTGAATAAATTAGCCACTAAAGTTTAATAACCGGATTAAGCTGAAGATCAAGAAAGAGTAGGGGAAAACAAACAAAGTGCCTGCGGCGCTTTGGCAACTGACTGGTTGAACCAGCTGTGCTGAGTGGTGACGCTAGTAGCCCTGTATTATAATTATCTAGTATTAACAATGATTACGAGTATGCCTATTATCAGCTAAAAATCAAGCAGAGCCGCAATGGCAAAAACGGCTAAAAGTGCGAAAGGAAAAAGTGTACACATTTATGTACATACATACATACTTAAATACATATGTTACTTCTTGGCACAGTTTATGATTTATGTATATCGCAACTTGCATATTAATAAATCACTTATGGTACCCCTTTCCCTACAAAAGTAAATTGTGGGCATTCACACCTTTCTGGTTATTAAGTACCACATTTATATAGTTACAAATTAGTTACTTCAGCGTATTTTATTGCTAAAGACTGAATAAATAAATATCGACACAGCCATATAATTTTATAAACAGGAAGGTGTTAATAATTACATTATTGTGTACGAGCGATCGAATGCTGCAGTCAATTTCATTTGGGAGGTCATAAACCTGGGGAAACTGAAACCAGTAGTGCATCGCGTAATTGATATATAAAAACATAAATAACACTGCCACAACTTATGCCCTTAAATGTCATTGATAATTATACAAACGTTTTTTTTTTTTCTGATAATTTTGTTAAGTTTTAGCGACGTGTGCTCTTTGAAAGCGATGTATTTTATTATTTTGAGTTTATAATTGGAAGTCAATAATGCCTGGAAAGTTATAATAAGAGTATTTTTATTTTATAAAATTTTCATGATAATCTTGTTTTGCGAGTATTTTACTTACATCAAACATTTTTTTTGTTTCAAAAAGTCATCAAGTGAGTCGCATGTGTTTGAGGTGAGAGATATTTTTAGTTTATACTATATAGTATTCGTACGGCGATTGAAATTCAACCACTAAAATTAAGGGGAATTAAGATGACTTGGTTTAAGCTGAAGTGAGTTCAAGTGGGGTGAGGTTAGTAAAAAAGTGAGTTGAGCTGAGGTGAGATAGATGGGGTGATATAAGGTGGTGATGAGGTGAAAAATCATTAGATGGGGGAGTTGGGGTGGGTTGAAGCTAGTGAATTGTGTTGAAATGGGATGAGGTGAGTTAAAGTGAAGTGAAAGGACTTGATGTGAGGTTATTTGAGGTGTGATGAGGGGAGTTGAGGTGATTTGAAATGAGCTGAGGTGAATTTCGATGAACAACATAATATAACAGAATATAATAAAATACCATAACAAAACAAAACTTAACGTAACATTACTTAACATAACATAACATAACATAAAATTTCAAACTGCAAAAAAATGTATTGCAGTGCTTGGATCGCGCTTGCGCTATTCGTAGCTCCGGCCAGAACGTCTGACCCATGTGTCGCCTCTCTCTTGAGGGTTAACCCCGTGCAAATACTTACATATGTAAGTAAAATTATTTAGCGGAGGTATTATTTGTATACTTTGTTGGCATAACGGTTATTTATAACATCCTAAAGGAATCGAGATAGATGTAGACATTAGACCGTCCCAAAAATTCATAGATTTTTTTTTTGTTTTTTTCAACGCATACCATCTCATTTTATTTTGTTTTAAATTATATTCAAACGAAATCAATATTCGCAGAATAATTTTTGTGCAGTTAGCGTGTTTTGTTAACTTACTCATATTACTTCTATATAAAGCGGTATTACTATACTCTCTTCAGGACAAAAAATTTTTATATTATTATTTCTAAAAGCATAGATACTTAAACAAAGTATGGAAATATGGGTATCAATTAAAATAAAAATTCAAAACACGTTTTTTGTCGAAAGTGAAAATTGTGAAGCAATTTTACATACATACAAACATAATCCCTCGATTGAGCCCTGCATGATTTTGAAACCAATTAAAAGTTAGCCGTAATAAGTTGGCCAAAAGTTGGCTAGTTTAGTAGCCGACTACGAAATTTCCGACAGGGACTGACGCCATACAATTATTTCCTATCCAAGGTCGTGATCTTGTCAATGACTTCTTTTATTTTGTTGTCATAGTTTGGTATTACCTTACGGCTGATGCTCTTGTTGACTGCATTATGTTACATTCACCAAACATCTGCATATACACATGTACATATGTATATGTAGGTGTTCAGCATTATTGCTATTGACATTGTCTTGCATTTAAGGGGCTTCTGCTCTTTAATTAAAATACATACCATGATGGGCATGAGATTCAAGGGCAATATACGCCGATGGTAAGATTAATGATTTATGCACACATTCACTTACATACTTACATGGTTATGCACAATTTTTATTTTATTTTCAACAAAAAGACTTAGTAAACTTATATTTGCCTACCCTCATACTCATTTAAGTTCGCAAAAAAATACTTTATCTTTATAATTGTTATAAATTAAATTGAAGGTGGATGGCTGAATCATTGAAAATCGTTAAAATCCTGTTGGCGGTCGCAGTAGCCACGTAATTATAAGTGCGTACTTCCACTATGTATGTAGATTAGATTCCTGGTCTGACCAAAAGGCAATGGTAAGCATCCAAGTGTATCTCAACCACGATAAAGCTTCCCAGAAAAGCCGTTCGGCGCGCCTTTAAGCCATTTGTCTGACAACCTTAAAGAGCATACTGCAAATTGAAGGAGAAGCATGGCCATACACTTAGCAAAAGGTGTAAAGCGTCAAATATTCGTTATATTTCTCCTCACATGAGGCTTCATACGCTTTCATTAAACAAACTACACTACACACAAATCCGGTTAAAATAACATACATATGTATGTGCATATTTGTAAATCGCTATTTGCATTTTTAACAGTTATCCTATTTATATATAAAAATTACCTTAGACCCAGTTTATCACAATGAAATAACAGTCAGTCCCCCTGAAATGCAGCTAATTTAATTCTCTGTATTATATCACAAACTGTTATTCGAAGACGAACACTTAGAAACATACATATGTAGATACATATTCACATATTATGCATATTGCTCTTTAACGAGTTAATTTTATTAACTTTAAATCAACGGGTTTGTTTTAACTACCTTAAATAAATATTCAGCATATGCACGAAATGCGTCAGAGGGTATGCAACATATACAATTTGTGACAAATTTTGCAGGTTAAAAATCTCGAGCGTACAACAAGAAAAATATTTTTGCGGTACATACATAAAATATCAAAAACTATACGCCAATTTAAAATACATTTTCAAAGTTAAAAAAAAAATAAATATTAAAGAAAAATGTCTCAACATTTATTATTACATACAAATTTTCTGTTTGTCATATTTCATAATTGAAGTGACAGTGTTGCCATAATGCACCCTAATACTAATAAAAGAAAAAATTGCATTGGATTTAGGTACTAATGTTACCACTAAATACTTAGTTGACAAAAGTCGAAAAGTCATCAGGCGAGAATCAATTCTAGTCCACTTCAGCCAACGAAACTCGACTCCAAATAGTCTATTTTTTTTTAATCTAGAAGGCTATTTTTTATTAAAGTTAGAGTCGACTTTGCCATACCTAATTGAAACACGATTGTCCATGCTAAGTAGTAAGTAAGGAAATTTAAAAAATAGGCTCTTTAGATATTTTCCAAGCACACGATCGAGCTTCTCCTCTGAATAGAACCTAAGTACAGCGTGGTGCAAGTACGCACCTTTTAACCATTCTACCAATTTCTGCTTGTATGACAGTGATGGAAACATACTGCCGGCTTAGACACATCGCCTATTTTTAATATGGCTCATAACGTCGAGCAACCACATACAGAATTGTTGAGCATAACAGAGAAAGCTTTAAGATGAAGCCTAGAAATTATAGTAGGCATGAATGCGAACTCGCACCACCCCCCTTTGGGGAACGGGGACCAAGGGGGAGAGTTGCTTTTTAATTAAATACTTCAAAATAATATAATTTTAGGCTGCACTTTCTTTACAGTAGCAATGCACATATATACATATGTATCTTGGACTGGAGGTTGCTGGAGAACGCTCTTTCTCNGGGGAACGGGGACCAAGGGGGAGAGTTGCTTTTTAATTAAATACTTCAAAATAATATAATTTTAGGCTACACTTTCTTTACAGTAGCAATGCACATATATACATATGTATCTTGGACTGGAGGTTGCTGGAGAACGCTCTTTCTACGACCATAGCTACATAACCTTCACAATACTTTTCACACAATGAGTTTTCCACGAATCTCAGGAACTCAAACGAGGAAGTCTTGAAAAACTATCTTGGGAATTCCTCCCGTTGAAAATCTAGACTTATTCGACACTTTTAGCCTGCAAAAATCTTGTCCAGCTTCGAACATAGAAATGCCAAACATGCTGGTTGCAAAGTATTTTGGCAGAATATAAAACCTTACTAAATATTTATTATTAATAAATAA